GATTTATAGAGGTTTTCCGCAGCAGAGTGGAAGGGGATGAATAAAATTTTCGTCCGATAGAGGTTTTCGAGTTGTAGAGGTTCGAGTTATCGAGGTTCGACTGTATTTGACTGTCGAATATAAAATGGGACATCCTGTATATGTGAATAATGTATATTATATATATAATATATACAATATATCAGTATGTATATATATATATATATATATATATATATGTATATATATATATATATATATGTAAAGTTAACATATTAAAGTTTTGTTTAATAATTAATAAATACTAATTATGTAGCTATCTAACGAATTGATCTATCATACGAAATATAACATAAGAAGAAAACAGAAGGGAAGAGCTTGATACCAGTCAGGTGATTGATTTTAAGATTTTGATTGGTGCATGCAAGGAATCGAGGCATAAACTAATACACCATTATATCAAACACAGAAATCAAGGATGATAGCGTACTTCGCTCAATGCATGAAAGTGTCTAGCATGCTTAGAACATATATTACTATATGCTCTAAGCTAATATATGTTGCTAATATGGTAATATATGTTCTAAGCTAGCATGCATCTGAACAGCAGTATGCAAGCCCATCATACAGGAAATTATGCATCGTGTGAGGATGGCCTGTAGCAAACTGAAAGCTACAGTCTTGAGTATAAAACACCTCCATATCCCTTATCGCATTTTTTGCAATTGCAAATACTGATAACAAATTATGTTTACCGAAAAAAGATCGCAAATGGGAAATGTGTCTTTGTTATTACCAATTCTGTTAGCACACTTCCGTCAATATACAACAACTTTTGTCGGCAAAATATATAACAGAATGGCAGCTAACAGTAAGTAGATGTCAGTAAACAGTAAATAAGATGATGTATATATACAGTAAATCATTTTGAGTAACGCATTGATTTTTCTCGATAACCAAGGCTTGTATCGAAAAATATTTCATATAAAAGTTTTACAACTTCAAGGGAGACATAAGATATATGGTGTCATAGATTTGACCTTGGGTGTACATACTAAGGTCATATGGAGGTCAACTTTGTTTTTTATGAAAATAAAGATTTCCATTTAAAAAAAACAAAGTTGACTTCCATACGACTTGGTTTTCGAGAAAAATGAATACGTCACTTTTAAAATGATTCACTCTGTATAATATATTTATTATACATGTGTATACAATTATATAATGGATTAAATATAATTATGTATATTTTTTTATATAATTTTATATACAAATATCTCAGTGAGCAATGATTGGAAAAGGTGGCAAATCAACATCTAAAATAAAAATCGAAAATTTGATCGAATACACATAGTTGCTTTTCAAAGAAATTATACAATTTGCAATGAGCAATTGTATTATGCAATATTGATGCTAATATTATATTTTGCAATTAATATCTTATGATATTAAATATACTTCTATGTGTGTGGTATATAGGAAGTTTGTAATAGTAATTAAAGAAAAATTTATAATTTGTAATTTTATTTACATTTTTTTATGACAACATATACTTGTATCAATCACATTTTATCTTATTATTTTGCACATAAAAATATTAATACAGTTTGAGAATAAATGGTGCGCGTGTAACGTGCGTTGTAATTTCTAATATTATAAAAAATGTTTAACCTATGTTTTCCTTAAAAATGTTTAATTTTTATTTGAATTTTTTTTTAATAAGGAACTATTGAAAAATTTACAGTAGTATATTAAAATAGTTTATCCTGTGTATATATCTGTTGAGAAGTATTGATTAATGTTTGATTTTAGTTTTTTTTGTTAATTATTCAAGAGATTCTTAAAAAAATATATAAAACAGAAATAACAAAGAAAAAAATTTTCATTTTGGAGAATAGTTATTGTGAATTTCACATACAATAAATTTTGGTTTTTATTAAATTTAATTTTTTTCTTAGAATGAATTTATTTGAATTTATCTACAAACAATTATATGTTTTGACATTGACACCACTGAGTTTTCAAAGAAATACAGTGTATATCAGTGTTTAAAGGTCTGCTAGATATTAATTGCAAATGATTATGCATACGAATATATCAACAAAAAAGAGGAAATAATAAACCTAATAGAGTCAACGTGAGTGTTAATGTGTAATCATTAATATTTATTTTCTAGTGTGATGTATATAGAAACCGCAAACATTTTCAGTCATCGGTTTTGGTCCTCTTCAATGCGTAAATACTTAAATAATTATAGTTAGTTAGATAATTCTTAGATAATTTTTAGTAATAATTCAGATATGGATTTAAATGTGAAATCTACTACGCAGGTATTTTTGACGCAAAAGTTGTATATAATAAATTAGTATAATTAATTGAGTCATTGGTGTAAAAATTAAAAACGCAAATTATACAATCGAAAGGGTTAAAAGAATTAAAATGTTAGAAACGCAACTTTATTAACGTGCAGTTTATCAAAAGAATTTAAGATGTTAAGAAATGTACGAGTTAAAAAAATAAACTTACAGTTTTTGAGTTAACCAACGCACGACCGTATCGAAACAGACAGAATTTAATGCGAATAGCGGGGTAAGGATGCTAGCCGAAGAAGAATATACATATTCTCATTCATATATATGAATGAAAAACTATGAATAAATCTATTCATATTATTTATAATTTATTACACATTAGTGATCACCTTCGTATTTTGCATTAAAAATATCTGCATAAAGGATCTCGCATTTAAATCTATTCAAATTATTACTAAAGATTATTGTATTTGCGCACTAAAGAGGACTAAAACCAATGGTCGAATCATTACGCATTAACATCCACGTTGATTTTATTAGGTTATTGTTTTCTTTTTTTTTTATTGACTGATTCTTAAAACCTTTTTATTTTATTATGAATATATACAAGTAGTCGCTAAGAATTAATTGCTGTGCATTATTCGTGCCAATCTATTATTTCTAATGTCTTCTTGTAATGTGATAATGTGAACAATTAATTAAAAAGTAATAATTTGGTTTCATTATAAATGGAATAATTGAATACATTTTCCAATAATAAATTCAACAATTTGCACAGATATTATAGCAATTGTCTAGTTTTATGCGCCTTCCAAGTTTTCTTTCGATCGTTTCAATACTGACCCTGTTCAGATATTATATCGATCGGTCTATTAATTATATACGAAACATTTTCTCGGCGCATATGTTTTATCGATTTAATTCTAAGAAATGGTAAACGTACTTGGCTTGGTAGGTACCTAACTGCGAAACTTTATGTCAAAAACATGAATTTTGATAATAACACACTGAAGCATCCGAGCCAAAAAGATGTTTGAGTAGGGGAAAAACAGGGCTGGAAACATCAATTGAACATTTGGGTGACTACTCTTCATGAAACAACATACAAATGAATTAATTGTGAATAAAATTGTACATTTATATATTATTATTAATAATATTTATAATATATATTATTACTAATAATATTTAATATAAATAATTATATTTGTGAATGATAAAATCTCTGTTTAATTTTAATGGTCCCAGTTTTTTTTATATTATATATAACTGTTAAAATTTATATAAAAACGTATAATAAAATTTATAAATAAATTAAACGCATTATGTATACTGTTTATTGTATAAAAAGCAACTAACTTAAATGAATAATTGTAATAATTTCTTAATTTATTTTATTAAATTCATAAATTAATATTTTAATATTGTAATTAATTAAATGACTGTAGAATGATAATTAGAACATTGATATTTAAAATTAATCTTATCACGATGATAATGCGCAGATCAGTTTTTCTATACGCCAAATTTGCTCTCACTTGAAAAGTGCTACTTCGTCACTGGAGCAGAGTGCGGGAGACGATGCGCGACCCGCAGCGCAGGGTAGCTCGGGATAATCACTGAGGCAGGCGCACCACTGGCTTGCGTCCAAGTAGTAGTGCCTCTGTCGGCACCAACGGACAGTATAGTGGCAGAGACTGTACCATCACCTCCACTATTATCAAAAGCAATCGACGGCAATAGATAGTAGTAGAAGCAAGTAGAAGTACGGTGATCGAACGATTTCGAAGTTTCTCGATTGCACAATTCTCCTTGTTTGTTGCCTAACTGATAATTGTGCAATATTAGTAACAATGACGTGATCACTTCTGTCAGACAACCAAAGGTTGGTTGTTTATTGTGTTTTTTTATAGATTTACCTTATTTTCTGGCCGCACGTTTTTCGCATTTAAGTGTTTGGATCCTGATATGAGATATTTAAGAAGTAAGAATGTCGTGCAACTCCTCGTATTTGTACCCTAACGCGCGCAATTGTGCCATAGCGCTTAATCGATAAACGTGCAGGGTGTCGATTGCAGCGCTCAGTGGAAAAAGTGGTGGTTAGTGCTAGTGGTATCGTCGTCACCATCATTGTCAATTATTGTTATTGTCATCGTTATTGTTAACATTGCCACTGTTGTCATTGTCATTGTTGTCGTTGTCGTCATTATCGTCATTATTTTGTTATTGTTATCGTTGTCTTTGTTGTCATCGTTATAATCATCGTTATCGTCATCTTCAATGTCAACGTCAACATCAACGTCATCATCATTACTGTTGCCGTCATTACCATCATCATCGCCATTGTTGTCGTCGTTAACGTCGTCATCTTTGTCGTCATCGTTGTCGTTATTGTTATCATCGTTGCGCTGTTATTGTCATTGTTGTCGTCAGTATCATTTTTGTCATTATTAACATCATTGATATCGATATTATCATCGTCATCGTTATAATAGACATCTTCGTTATCATCGCTGTTGTTCGTTATTGTTTATCATTATTATTATCAAAAATATCGTGACCTTGCCAGAATCGCGTGACGAGATGAAACATTTCAATGTAATGCACAACGACGCGTTTCTTCGATCAAACGGCGGTTATATTTGAAGCTAAAGGAAAAGAAAGGTGAGTGGATATATGTGCGGAGACCACCGCTTTAAATGCTGCTAGCCTGCTTTGCGTATACCTCTCGTCTATTTCCATATAATATAGTTACATGGTCAATAATATAGTTACATTGTCATAATTGTCGAGAATATTTCCCATCTTCGACACAATTTTACAGACAATTTAAGACTATTCACATGTTGTCCGGTCAGCTGGTCATCTTTCATCATTCTATTATTTGTGGATCTATTAAAAAATGCGTGTGATGCCTCAAGTTCAGTCCTATAAGAATTCAGTTTCATCAATTTAGTTCAACCTTTTTTTTCCGTTTTTTTTGTTGTCATTCAATTTGTAACATAGATGTAGTTATTTAATAAGAATAAAGTTTTGTTACAAAGAAGAGCAATTTAAAATTTATTCAAAGAGATGTCTATAATCTATTTATCTATTTGTCTGTTTTCTATCCGTCTGCCTACTGTCTATCTATATAATTAAAAATGAAAGATTTTCTCTTAGTAAAAATAGCAAAGAAAATTAGCATTTACAGCAACTTTTGAATTTTCAATATATATATATATATATATACACTTCTCAACAAAATTAAAGCATCACTTACTCTATCCTCCAAAAATAGGCAAAATTCAAGAGAGTGTAACTTCGTAAAAAATGATCGTATCGAGATGTTCAAAAAAACATTTTACAGCTTGAAATAGATCGGAAGAG